ATTGGGATCACATTCCTGAGGAAAGCGGGGGCGGGAAGTGCTGACAGCAGCAGCGGGATGCAGGGAATGTGGGGGAGGACTGGGGGGGCATGGAGAGGGCAGGGGGGCATGGCCATCCTGGTCCTTCCCGAGGGATTGTCCTGGATGGTGTCCTGGAAGGACCATGATGGATCTGTGAAATGATGACCAGTGTCCCAAGGATCCATAGCACATGGATAGTATCCATAGGGTGCTGGGCATGTGTCCCATGGACAGTGATCCATAGGGTGTTGGGCACATGTGTCCCATGGACAGTGATCCATAGGGTGTTGGGGCCCTGTATGGACAGTGATCCATAGGGTGCTGGGCACATGTGTCCCATGGACAGTGATCCATAGGGTGTTGGGCACATGTGTCCCATGGACACTTATCCATAGGGTGCTGGGCACGTGTCCCATGGACAGTGATCCATAGGGTGTTGGGCACATGTGTCCCATGGACAGTGATCCATAGGGTGCTGGGGATGTGTGGCCCATGGACAGTGCTGCCCTGTATCCCCCAGCCCAGGGCAGTGCCTCCAGAGCCTCTGGAGCCTCCGGATCTGCTGGGATGGGATGCCAAGGCCAAGTCATGCCAGGGTGGTGCCATGGCACAGTGTCCCCAGTCATGAAAGGAGCCATTGATGGCAGGAGCAAGGAGAGGTGTCTCACCTCCACCCCTGCTCAAGCTTCCCAAATTCCTACCTTTTCCCTGCCAGGAGCAGCTGGGAAGGGGTGGGAACGCCAGTGCCTGTTTTCCCAGCAGCTCTCCATGTCCCTGGGGGTTGGGACAAAGGGGACAATGACATTGGTGCCATCTCAGGGTCAGGTCATGGAGAGACATTCTCCTGCTCCTCCCAGTATGGAACTGGGGGTTGGATCTCGCCCCAATCCCTTGGGAAGGTGGGAACAGCTGATCTGAGGTGGATGATTACTGGGGTTTCCCATTTTCCCTTAGAATATTCCCTAATTTTCTGCTGAGCCTGTTAGGATTTTGGTTCATTTCAAAATGAAGTTCTCTTTTCCGTGTTTCCTCCCAAATCCTCCTCTGCATCTCCTCTGGAGAAATCCCAGTTTTTGGGGAGCAGCCAAGCCAGAGGAGCAATTCCCACACGTCCCAGCCCTCCCACCTGCATCCCAATCCCAGATTTGGAGGGATTTGTGCCTCACACACACACACCTGAGCACACAGGTGACTCCCACCTGCACGGCATGGATTTAATTGGGATGTAGACACAGATGCCACGTGGATTATCCCCATGCATCCCTGGATTCACCCACCCAGGTGAGAGGGATGACCCGGACAGGTGAGACTGCTGCATAAAACTCAACTCTCCTTCAGCTGTTTCTCTCCTCAGACAAGTTTTCCAAGGAAAAGAGTGGGAATTCAGAGGGAAACAATGTGAGAGATTCAGGGAAGGAACTGCAGAGGTTGGTGCAACACCTGAGCTTCATTTCCATCCCTGCAGCTCCCAAATTCACAAGGATTTAGCGCTGAGCTGATCCCAAGTGACCCCCCCCCCACACCCCGACTCCAGAGGGATCTCCCAAGTTTCCCTGAGGATTCCCAGCAGGAAGAGCAGAATTCCAGAGGCAGCATCAGCAGCCAGAGCAGTGCCCCGGCCGAGGTGAGGCAGCACAGATGTGTTTGCTTTGCTGTCAATCTCCAATTCAACACCACAGCGACACATTCCCGAAAATAAATACCATTGTCTTTGGAAAACTCAAGGTCAGGAAGAGCTGGAAGTGCACACAGGTCCATCTTCTCCTTCCAGAGGTTCTCCAGGGCTAGGAAAACCCCACAGGGATTGGAAGAAACGGAGTTAAGAGTTCACTTTTTGAGGGGATTTTTGGCATTTCAGCGATGGTGACAGATCCCAAGGGAAGGTTGGGAGAGGCTTTAGTTACATGAAGTCGTCAGAATCATTGCCATCCTGTGGGAACAGAGGAAAATCTGGGATCATTGCGGGTGTTCAAGTGGGAAAAGGCTCAGGGTTATGGCAGAATTCCAATCGATTCTGTTTCTGCCATTTTACCCCAAGGAATCAGAGGAGATGGAACACAGAATTCCAGACTGGTTTGGGTGGGAAGGGAACACAGAATCCCATCCCATTGCAACCCCAACATCTCCCACAAGCTCAGGCTGCTCCAAGCCACATCCAACCTGGCCTGGAACACTCCCAGGGATGGAGCAGCCACAGCTGCTCTGGGCAACCTGTGCCAGTACCTCACCACTCTCACAGCCAAGAATTCCTTCCCAATATCCCATCTCTCCCTGCCCTCTGGCAGTGGGAAGCTATTCCCTGTGTCCTGTTCCTCCAGGCCCTTGTCCCAAGTCCCTCTGCAGCTCTCTTGGAGCCCCTTGAGGCACTGGAAGGGGCTCTGAGGTCTCCCTGGAGCTCAGTGTTTGGCTTGAATCCCTTGGAGCTCATCCCACAGGGATTGTCTAATGAAAAACCCAACCTGGAGCCATCCCAGCTCCAACTCCATGGAATCATAGACTCCCAGACTAGTTTGGGTGGGAACAGCCTTAAATCCCAACCCATCCCACTCCCTGCCATGGGCAGGGACACATTCCACCAGCCCAGGTTGCTCCAAGCCTCATCCAACCTGGCCTGGAACACTCCCAGGGATGGAGCAGCCACACTTAATCCTGGTGTCCCACCGTTCATTCCCTTCGGATGAAGAGCAGGACTGTGTCCCCATTCCCAGCAGCAGTGGCTCCTCCCAGGTGCCACCCAAGCCCCAGTGCCATCTGGGAGCAGAGGGAAGTGCCAAAGTCCTTCCCTGGAGAGGTGACAATGTGCTCTGACACCTCACATATCCCTTGAGAATACTTGGAATTGAGCTCACTGGAACTGAGCTCAAATGTTCATTGGGAATATCTGCAATTAAGTTCAAATATTCATTGGGAATGTTTGGAATTGAGTTCTCTCAGCTCAAATATCCATTGAGAGTATCTGGAATTAAGCTCACTGGAATTAGGCTCATTTGGAATATTTGAAATTGAGCTCAAACACTCATCGGGAACACTTGGAATTAAACTCATTGGAATCGAGCTCATTGGGAATATTTGGAACTAAACTGAAAAATTCATTGGGAATATCTGGAATTAAGCTCATAGGAATTGAGTTCATTGGGAATATTTGGAACCGAGCTCAAATATTCATTGGGAATATCTGGAATGGAGCTCTCTTGGCACAAGCATTCCTTGTGAATCTTTGGGAAAGCATTCCCAATGTGCTCTCTAAGGAGGCCCCGGAGCCAGGCTGCAGTGCTAGGGCTGGAACTCCATTCCCAGTGGGATAAGCAGTTCTCACCTGGTTGGATGACATGTTCTCAGCCTTCATCAGCGATGAGTAACTCCTGCAGGGACACGGACAACATTCCCTTCAATCAGCTGCTCCCAAAACGACCCACTTGGATAAAACAGGATCAAATTCCCAAAACCCACATTGTTTTCCTTTTTTGAACCTGGATCATTAGTGGCCGATTCCATATTCCTCACTAATTAAACCCATGGGAGGAAGGTTAGGAGCTCTCTGACTCCTGTTTCCTTAGGACCTACCAGCTGCAACATTCCAGGAAGCAGGAAATCTTGGTTTTGGGAGGTGGCAGGGCTCAACCAGCTCCTCCAAGCCCTCTTGTCCAGCCCCTCCATGTGTTGGATCACTCAGGAAATCCCAGGATGTTTTAAATCCTGGTTTTCATGCCGTTTGGAGATGAACACTCCTTAAAAAAGGAGCACTTGGAGCCATCCCAGAGCCATAAATCCTGCAGGAATAAGCTCAGAGGTGCTTGTTGCCACATGGCACAAAGGTCAGTGTGACATTCCAAGCCCTCATCCCTCATTCCACGGAGGATTCACACAGGTTTCCATTACCATCAGTGCTGGAAGAGCAGGATGAATTCCAGTGCAGGCGCAGAGCTTCCCAAAGCAAT